TAGTACCTCATTTAGCACTTATAATAATTCCATAATAAATGTATTAATTTATGCCCATACCACAGATGCAGAAACACATAGTTAAGGAGACTTACCAACTTATGCAGATGTCTCAGATCCAGGTTTTCTATCCATGTGATCAGCCACTAATCTATATTGAAACACACACATATTTCTGTCCCTCAAACGCATACAGACACACACTCTCGTACACATAGAACATCTCTATACTCCTAACATTAATGTTTTTCAATTAAGTTTAATTTGAGCCACATAAGCCAAATAAAATGTGTATTAAAAATAATTTTTCTGGGACTTCAGCCAGAATATGATGTAAAAATAGTGTTAAAATAGCCTGAATTAACTATTTAATGTATAGAAAATACAAACCATTGCAGATATAAAAAGTTTTTTTACTAACAACTATTCTTAAATCAAATAATTTCAAGAGAATTAAGAAAACATTCACACAAAGAATATACCATTTTACATTTGAGAACCACAATTAGACAAACCATATATTTTCTCAAATAATCCTACTCTAGCAACACATGCAATGGGACATGAAAGTCTTCATTGTGCTGAATTTATAAGTAAACACAATTCTCTGAGTAATCAAAGTCTATACTCTCATACATACAATGGCTTTGTAAATGTCCTAATCATTAAATATTTGCTTTCAAAATAAACTGTGCTAAACCGAAAGTCTTAATACCCGAATCATGGGGGTGGGGTGGGGCTGAAGATTCCTTAAGATCAGAAATGAGACAGAGATGCCCATTTTCACCACTCTTATTCAACATAGGATTGGAGTCCTAGCCACAGCAATCAAACGAGACAAAGAAACAAACTAGAAAGAAATAAAATTGCCATTATTGTCAGATGACATGATATTGTATATAGAGAACCCTAAAGATTTCACCAAAAATCTACTAGAACTGATAAATTCATTAAAGTAGCAGTATACAAAATAAATATCCAGAAATTGGTTGCATTTTTATATACCAATAATAAACTATCAGAAAAGGAAACTAAAAAAAAATTTCATTTACAACTGTATCAAAAATTAAAATATCTAGAAATAAATTTAGCCAAGAAGATAAAATACATATAATCAGAAAATTATGACACTGAAGAAAGTTTGAAGAAGATACAAATAAATGGAAGCATATACCATGTTCATGAATAAGAAGAATAACATCATTAAAATGTCCATACGACCCCAAGCAATTATAGATTCAACACAATCCCTATCAAAATACCAAAGATGTATTCCACAGAGCTAGAACAAATAATCCAAAAATGTATATGGAATCACAAAAGATCTTGAATAGCTACAGTAATCTTGAGAAAGAAGAACAAAGTTGCAGGTATCATACTACCTAATACCAAACCATCTTACAATACAGCAATCAAAACAGCATGGTAGTGACATAAAAACAGACATATGGTCAATGGAACAGAATAGAGAGCCCAGAAATAAAGCCACATCCATATGCTCAATTAAAACTTGACAAAAGAGGCACAGATATAGAATGAAATAAAGACAGTTTATTCAATAAATAGTGTTGGGAAAATTGGAAAGATACATGCAAAAAAAAAAATGAAACTAGACCCCATTCTTACATAATGTACAAGAATAAACTCAAAATGGATTAAAGACTTAAATATAAGACTTGAAACAATAAAAACCCTAGAAGAAAATATAGGGTGTAAAATCTTGAACATTTCTCATAGCAATCTTTTTTTTCTGATATATCTCCTTGTGCAAGGGAAGAAAAAAAAGTGAACAAATGGAACTACATCAAACTAAAATATTTTTGCACAATAAAGGAAACCATCAACAAAATTAAAAGACAACCCACTGAATGGGAGAACATATTTGCCAATGACATATCTGATAAGGAGTTAATACCCAAAATTTATAAAGAATTTATACAACTCAACACCAATAATATAAACAATCGAATATAAGCAGGGGCAAAGGACCTGCATAGACATTTCTCTAAAGAGGACATACAGATGGCCAACAGACATATGAAAAGATGGTCAGTGTCACTAATAGGATAAAAGATGACTTATATGTAAATAATAAAATATTATTTCCTGAAAAATATTATTTAAAATTATATCAATATAATAAAGATCTCTGGAAATGATAGAACAGTAATCTTTTTGATACAGTTCTATCAAGATGTAATGTAGGTATATGAAATATATCTATTTGAAGTGTGCAAAGCAATGACTTTCAGTACATTTATAGAACTGTGTAATTGCCTGCAAAATCCATTTTTAAAACATATCCCTTAGTCCAAAAAAATCACTTGTGCACACTGACAGTTATTCCCCATACTCATATCTATTGCCAGGCAACCACAATCTGTTTGTTTATATATATTTGCCCTTTGTGAACATTTAATATCAATATAATTTATACACAATATGTGGTTTTGTGATTGGCTTCTTTTACTTAATATGTGAGCAAGATTTATTATCCATAGCATGCATCTGTAGTTTCTATTTATTGACAAATAATATGCAATTATATGGATATAACATTTTTTGCTTATATATTCACCAGTGAATTGGCATTTGGATTGTGTTAGCCCTTTTTGCTTTTGGAAACATTTTCTGAATACATAATATATATATATATCTTTGGTATTCATAAATTATGTTGCAATGTTCTGCCTTTCTACACAGAAAGGGGCATTTGATATGACTATGAGTATATACAATAAAACTTCTGAATAGAATCCCCTAGACTAGAAAATGGTTTTCAATGGTTGCTGCACGTTACAGTCAGTTAATAAACTATTATAACCTACCCTGGAACCTACTTCCTTAAGTTTTAGTTTAATTGGTTTAAGGTGCAGCCCAGGTATCAACATTTTATGAAAATGTCCGAAGTGACTTTAATATGCACTCATTCAATCTGAGTTGTTATAGAATACATCCCTTTATCTCACTTTTGCTTTGACTTAATGGATAAAAATCTCTTCAGAATGTAGCTTGCCGTACTCCCAGTCTCCTTTATGTGCGTAGATAAGGAGTGGAAGAATTGGTTAGGTGAACAAAAACTTAAGATCGAACAAGGGGCAGAAAAACACTAAGGTCTCAGCCTACCAGTTGACAGCTTTATATAGCAGTTAGTGCCTTGCATGGACTTGCTCTTTTAGGGTAGAAATCATCTTTCATTTATGTAGATCAGATTCCCAGTGAATACATTTGAAAGCAAATAATTTTTAACTAAATCTAATTATGGTTTCCGTAAGAGGAGACAAAGGGATTTACAGAGAAAACGTCTTCAGTTTCTTTCTAACTGACTTCACAGAGAACAAACCTTTTAAATCTTATACAGTAAGACCTCACTTAACATCATTCATAGGGTCTTGTAAACTACAACTTTAAACAAAAGGAAAGGACTTATAACTAAACCAATGTTACCCTAGGCTAATTGATATAAACAAGAGTTAACTTCCTTGGCATATTCTGGTCATAAAAACATCATCAAACTTTTAAATAAAGACCCAAAACAATTATAATATAAAGACTGAAATAAATTTGAGCCGAATGCATACATTTAAGAGAGATGAATAAAATCAAGTAAGATCATTCTTTTCCAATCCAATTATTCCAACTCAGAGTCGTGGGTGATCGGAACCTCTCCAGTCAGCTCATGGCACAAGAAGAGACCCAATCCTGGACTGGATATCTTTCTATCACAGAGCACATGCACACACATTCCCATTCATTCAGACTGGGACAATTTATACAGTCTAATCACATAATGTGCAGATCTCTGGGATATAGGAGGAAACCAGCATACCCAGAGAAAATCCATGCAGACATGGAGAAAAACTCAAAACTCCTGGGAATCAATGTTTTCCCCTCATTTAATATAATAAAATGACATTGAACAAGATGATGTTATTAGAGGTTCTGGTGTATATGACTCTTTATTATATTTCAGACATCACTTTATATGATATCTCTCAGGAGAGAACTTGACATTCTACTATAAAGCATTTGTCAAGTCATTATCATATTACCTTGTTTTTAAAAATTCTTGTATATAACTTAATTCTGATTTTATAATCCATGTATATGGTTTCAAAATTGCTCTGTCTTCTGAAATATAAGCTGTAAGAAAGGAAATTTTCTGTGTTATATATCAATATTCCCTCAATGCTGAATGAACATAAAAATAATGAGTTCTTACTACCTGTGAGAATGAATGAAAAAAGGTTGATTTCTTTCCATGGCTGTCCTATTCCATAGTAGAATAGATGTTGCTTAGAATTTAATCATTGCCTTTATCTGTTTTCTTGGAAATAAAAACTCTGGCATTGGTGGTTAGGCTTAAAATTCATTTGCCGTAAATCATTGTTGATGGGGCTATTATTGAAATCTCATATTTACTAAAAAAGCCTTTTTAACAGAAAAAAAACCCTGGGCATTCAGTGCAATGACTTGGCACTTTCCATGCTTTTCTCCAGTTTCCATACATTTAAATATCTCCAATCACCTGCTCATTACCAGTTTGAACAGGCATGAGAAAACAAAGACAAGCTACACTGGAAGTTATTTGGCATCTGAATGCACAACTATTGAGACCTGGAGCTCTAATTTTAGTTATAAAATATTATGAAGGGCAGAATCAGATAGCTTTGAAGTTTTAAAAAATCAATAGGCAATAATAATATCAATAAGTTATTACTTCTATAGTGTTTACTTTCCACTAGAAACTCTTCAGATATTTATAGACATTTGTTTGTTTTAATATCAATAGCTACCATATGAAATTGGTACTATTATTACCTTTATTTTAGGCATAAAGAAGCTGAAGCAGAGAGAGAAATATAATTCACCCATGTTAAGCAGTTAATTAGTGTCTGAGACCATCTGAATCCAGGATCTGTGGTTTTAACAGAGTAGAAGATATAGGATGGAACACCTTCACCCAGCATTAGTCATTCCTTTGGCTTAAATTTATTTTGGGGGGGTGAGCGCAAACGCAGCCCCCCACTACCACAATATGCAGTCGAGTTTCCCACATTTGGGGAAATTGCAGGGGTCAGCACATCCCGGGAGCAATGGATAAGCCTCAACCTGGGAAAACCACCTTCATGATCATGGTATCTCCCCTGGCAGGTAAGTATTAAATTTTAATGTCTCTAATGTTCAAATTAAAATGTACATACTATCATAATGATCATATTATTGTATATTAATTGATGTAATAAATACTACAACCATTCTGAATTAATGTAATACTAACATTTTATTAAGGATATGTAGGGAAAACATATATGGAGTAACACTAAATAGAATAGCAGGATCCTTGACATGTTGTATAATATTAACACTGAAATTCCAGTAATTCCGGTAGAAGGTTAGAATAAAAAATAAGGACAAAAAGAAACTTTACTAATTTACATTATTTATGTAGGCATAGCAGACTATATTTAAATGGCCATCTTCATTTCTTTCTGCAAATTTGAATAGCATGTTCAGGAAGAAGATATTGGGAGAAGAATTAAAATAAAATAAACATTCATATATCCAGATTTATGATAGTGTTAAAATCCTGAAAGTTTCTCTGACAAGGCATATGAATAGAACACTCATACAAGAATATACATATATTCTTCTTCATATATAGACATACATATACATAGTAAATAGTCACTTTCTAATAATCTTAAAAGCAAAAATTAAAACAATGTGATAACTTAAAACATATTTGTAAAACATACAAAATTACAATGGCAAATGCTTGGCCTTTCAGTATTAATTACTTTAGACTGAGCAAGCATGCTGTTTTCCTATCCACTAAGGTTTTTCTAAAGTCACTAAAAAAATTAAAATGGCACAAAACTATTATAATCAATAAAAAAGAGAAAAAAAAATTAAGACATGTGTTGGCAAGATAAAAAGCTCTCAGAGGCCAGCTGGTGTGGCTCAGTGGACTGAGCACCATCCCATCCCGGGTTTGATTCCTGGTCAGGGCACATGCCTGGTTGCAGGCTCAATCCCCAGTAGGGGGCATGCAGGAGGCAGCCAACTGATGTTTCTCTCTCTCTCTCCCTAAAAAAAGAAATCAATGAAAATATATTTTTTAAAAAAAAAGCTTTTGGGGGACTCTTACTGATTTAGCAATTTAGTGTTCTACAGAAGAGTTTCACATGGAGGAGAGAGGTTCAGGAGTGGTGGCACTAAACACAGAGAAGTGCACAGATTAGAAAGAGGGGGAGAAGCAAGATGCTGGTCAGAACATGTATTCATAGAAAATATGATCCCTTTCCCCATGTCTAAAATATCAGTACATAGCCCTGGCTGGTGTGGCTCCGTGGTTAGAGAGTTGGCCCGAGGACCAAAGGGTTGCCGGTTCAATTTCCAGTCAAGGGCATGTACCTGGGTTGCAGGTTTGATCCTCATCCCAGGAGACAACCAATCGATGTATCTCTCACATTGTTCTTTCTCTCTTCCTCCCTCCCTCCCTTCTATTCTCTCTAAAAGTCAATAGAAAAAATATCCTCCGGAGAGGATTAAAAAAATGAAAAAAGAAATATTTTATGATTTAATGTACAGGTAGAATGTAAGGGACAAAACAAACGAACAAAGTTGAAACAGACACATGGATACAGAGAGAAAACTGGCTGGTGGTTGCCAGAGGGGAAGGGGGGTTGGGGCTCTGGGTGAAAGAGGTAAAGGGACTAAGAAGCACAAATTGGTGGTTACAAAACAGTCACGGGGAAGTAAGTAAAGCATAAGAAATATAGTCAATAATATTGTGATATCTCTGTATGGTGCCAGTTGGGGTGCTAAAAATATGGAGGAGAGTACTATGTAAAGTATATATGATTGTCTAAACACTACGCTGTACACCTGAAACCAATACATAATAAAAGTTTTAAAAAGAAACAAGTCATATACAGCCTCGTCCTATTTCAATAAAGATTAAAAAACTAACAACCATTATTTAGGGAATACATATATGTGATAAACTATAAACAACACAAAAGAGTACTTAATGCAAAATTTAAGAAGTTTTAACTGGGGTGGAGGGGAGGGGATGTGACTGATGCAGAGTGCTTCTATCAGGTACAGAGGACATTACTGTATTATCCATTAAATTATACCTAAATGTTAAATAGATATTTTTGTATATACTTATGTATGCATTATTTTTTAAAGTTTGAAAAGTAATATCTCTAAGATGGCTAAATTACTGCTGTCATTTCTGCTGACTGCAGAAGTCTTGTGAAACACATGATTGATTAACATTTGCAGAATCATCATTGACCCTGTAAATGACAAGGGAAGTACCATCTTCAATTTTCATTCTGTTGAAGTGGCAACAGATCCACCCACCCTTTCCACGGCGTTGTGTCTGCCTTTGGCCTTGGTGGTGAACAGAATGACTCTGACTCTCTTCACCACTGGTTTAAAGTGCTTCTAAATCCACATTCATAATAATTAATCATCCGCGTTTGTTTACTTAGGGTGTCTATCTACCAGTGACAGCAAAGGCAGCGAGGGTAATAGAACTTCATTTAAGCAATTCAATTGAAAAAGTCCCTTCCATTGGCCTGGCGTGCTAGAGAACAACCTTCTCTCTGCTTGCTCCTATTTGAAAAGGTTACTAAGGCTCTTCTTCTTCATTCTTCATTCATACCCATTATCACTGAAAAATGTCAGTTCTAACTCTGAAGCAACTTTTATTATTTGAAAGAGAGTTTTAAAAGTCCTTAATTCAGGGACAGAAAGAGCTGGGAAATGAGAATAAAAGCCTTTAGTCTGAGTGGCATTTGAACACCACTTTTGTTCCGTGTCACTCCTCTGGTGAGGTGTCACAGGCAATTAGGGGCTGCTATTCAGAGTTCGGAGTACAGATCACCACATGAGGCATGGAACAGAAATACAAGCTAACAATTAATTACAAGTTTCAGAAAAGCTCTACAGATGAGCAACCTTTTCTCTCAGATACCATGTCAGACTTACACTGTGTTAGAATTATTGTCCTTCAAGACCGAACAAATCTTGCTCGCACACATAAGGTTACCATCAGTCATACTGTCATTAGCGGTAGTTAAAAAAAAAAAAAAAATTGAGACATACAGAAGAGGATTAGGGACAGGATGAAAGCAGAAATTACCTCATATATTCAGACCACAATAAAAATCTTAATTGAAATTTAAGTTTTCATGCAAATAGATATTTTGCTTTTTCAGGAAGGAGAAGTTTTAGTGCTTTGTATGGTTGTGAGGAACATAAATATTGCCAAGCAGCCAGACCAGTGTGAGTTGGAGGGCTTTCCTGAGCAGTGTCAGGACAACGCTGTGTCTCTTCTGCTGGAGTGAGACATGTGGCTGAAGAGATGTGTCAGAATCAGGTGACAGAAATTAGAGAGGTCCTGGGAATAATATTTTTTAGAAAAAGCAGAAAAGTGAGGAAATCTATATAGAGAGAGGTGTTTAATTCCCATTTACTCAAATCTATAAAGACTGATTTTAGTTAGGGATTTACTCTCCTTGGGCAAGATGACTAAAAGAAAATAAATATGCACTATGTGTGCCTTTCTTTGCCATTTGTGAACATTATGGTATGAAAGACAAAATTAGAAGACAATTTCATTTAGGCTAATGCAACGGCGAAAATCTTTCTTAATGGAGAACAATGCAAAGGGAAGGGGACCTGGCTTTCCAGAGACAGATAAACAAGGGTGTCATCTGGGAGTCCTAGGGGCGTCATGAGGAAGGATGGAAATGGCCTTATCTGGGAATATACAAGGGCAGGTGCTCCTTGCCATCAGCCCTATCCCCGAACAAAGGGTGGGATTTCACAATTTTTCCTTCTTTCTGGGATCACAGGGCTCAGGTAAAGTTCAACAATGCCCAGTGATGATAAAGTCACCAACGCCGAGAATGACTGAATCCTCACTCTGAAGTGAGAACAGCCTACGACCTACTAGGCACGGCTTGCACTATGGACTGTAAGGATATGAAATGTGCACTGTGTGCAGTTCCCCCTCAGTAGTGGGCGTCCTGCTTACTGTCTGTGCCTGGGCACTCTCTTGTGGTAGCTTGTGTTCCACGTGAGCTGCTCCTGAAGCTTGCATCCCAGAATCCAAGGCGACACGGAGCAGAGCCAACCAGCCCTCAGCTTCTATGCAACACACATCAGAATAAATGTTTGCTGTTGTAACTAAGATGTATAGGTGTTTATTAAAACAAACACTCTTCCCCATCCCATCATAGTGTTTGTAGGTATGAACCTGAAACTTCCTAGACCCCGTGGCTGTGCTTTGACTATGCGGACTCCTCACATCATTATTCCATTTAAAAGCATGCCTTTTTGGCAGCACTCCGTGTGAGGGTTTTTCCAAGGCTATCAAATGACATGTCTTTTGTAAAACACTGTTCAAATATATCAGGTTATTGTTTTGTTGCTCCATCATTCTATATAGAACATAGAGATTGATGGCTGAAAACGGCTTAGTTAAGTTCTCAATTTACTTACTAAAAGTAAGAGTGAGTATGTGGGCACTTAAGTGTTTAAGCAAAGAGGACATTTAGTGGAAGTGGAGGCTTTGAGCCCTTCAAATTATTTTCATCAACTGCCTTCAGTGTCTGCTAGTTAAATCCTTTTTTAAAAAAATTAAAACACTTGAACATTTTAGTATAAGAAAGAATAACCAAGTGACATGCATCCAGTCTCACATTAATTTATGTATAGGCTTAGAATATCAAAATTGTCAAGCAAAAAACATAATTCTTTCAGGTTATGATATAACCATATAACTTAACAATGCCACCACTTTTTTTTTTTTTTTTTTTTACTGCATGCAAGTTGAAAAGAGGGATCTTTTCCCCCTCAAATTCATTAATCTATTATCATAGACCCAAAATAACCAAGATACAGGAGATAATTTGTGGCCGTCCATGATCACATCAGAAAATATTTTCTATTTCTTTCATGATCAGTCTACATGTGATTCTTTTCTGAAGTTATTAATGCAGTTTAACTTTATTCTTCCTGCTTCATTCTTCCTACATACTTGTAAAGGTTCTATCAATTTAGAAAGTTTAGTCCTGAAAATAAAAAGTAAGTGCCACAAATCACACTGAAATCTCTGTTATTCATGGTTAATTTCTTA